AGCTTTCTAGTTTTCCTTCATGGCTGTTCAGTTGTATGCCTATTTTGCCACCTCATTCCTCAATGCTAGAGGAGTATTGGTCCTTTCCACCAAGGATGGATGATGGACTGCTGTGAGCCCCCTGCCCTACAAATGTGGGGAAGTGCAACTCTGGTACTTTATTCACAGCAGAAGCAATTATGACATCTGTTGGAGGAGTTTTAACTGGGCGTGGGTGGGCTGGAGGACAGATCTGTCCTGGCACAGGATCCTTTGCTAAGATAGGCTAGGCTCAGTGACTAGCCCAAAGTCACCCAGTGATACACTCCCCATAGGTGATCAGGGATGTGGACCCAGGTCTCCCCAGCTGAAGTCCAATATGTGAACCACTCCACCATCCTTGCCAGCTCAGTTTTTTGACTGTTATTAGACAATAAATTGGGTATTACGCGACTAATGCTGCTCTTTGGAAGTTATTCTACAAGAATCAACACAGCTGCCTGCCATTTTTGAGCTCTCATTGGATGAGTGGCCATGGGGCTATGTCGTCATGGACTCCTGCACTACTGGGTAAATGTGTCTTCTCAAACCCCAAATCACTGGTTTTCACGTTAATTCTCTGTGCAAAATGAGTGTTTTTCAAATGGCCTGCCTCACAGTTTCATTTTGAAGATGAATGTTGTGAGGGTTGTAAAGGACTCTTCCGGCTAAGAGCTAGACATAAAATAAGTGAATGCTGTCCTTTAATTTACTTACTTGTTCTGACAGAGTTATCAATTTCAGGATGAAAGCTGAGGAATTACAACTAATATACTTGTTATGTGGTTATTGACAAACATAGATGCTGCCGAGTGTGCTTCAATTGCCTTTTCTCCTGTTAATTTAGGCAGCACATCAGAATATATGAATTGCTTTTCCTCAGTCTGGACGAGAAAGATAAAAACATCCCATACAGAGCAACATTTGTCTCCAGCAGTGTCCAGTCAGATGCCTGTGTATCCTCACAGACCAGACAGAATTGGAATAGCCACCCACCTGGAATGGATTATTGTATCAAAGAATGGTTGCCTGAGTCCTCATTCTGAAAACGAAGTCCTGGGCTGAGATACACTTAAAACTAGATCAAGCCACCCCAGAGTATACGTGTATCCTGCTTTCTAAGCTACTCTCTTCCTCTTGGCCCCAGCTGGGGGACATTTTTTTTTGGGGGGGGGAGGTCAAGGAAAAATCCCAAAGTAGTTCCCACAAGCTTCATGTTTGCCCACTACCAGAGACATTACAGGAAATTAAAACAGCAGCTATCAAACACATAAGCCAATCAAAGTACCACTGCCCTCTGTAACTAGATAAAGCAACCAGGGCTCACCCATATAAGACAGTGTCCACCAGAAGATACTGGGTAGGTATCCTATGCTAGTCCTACTTAGAGTAGATCCATTGCCGTTACTGGACATTACAAAGTGATTAATTTCAGTGGGTCTACTCTGGGTGGAACTTAGTGGCAACACACTTTGCTGGCTTTGAAGCATCACAAAATGTACTCTTGCAGTTTCTCCTGATGCATAGGATTCATCGCAGCTGGAGGCAGAGCAATAACACAAACATACATGTGCTATCCACATCCAGGATAACCAGTTCCTGACATTCAGCCACATTCCAATTCTCTTGAGAAGTCCCAAATCCATCACACTCCAGCTACATTTATGCATCACTCATGTGTAAAGCAGAGTTTGAAGCAGGAATGGGGCTGCCAACACCACATTCCTGGGCTAATTGTAGCTGGGGTGCCATGCAGCTGTGTGGGTATCCTGATCATGTGGATCCCCCTGCATGTGAAGAGAAGCTCACATGTAAGGGGTTCCTCCATAGATGACTATGCACAGAACAGGGTGAGGCTAGCCCTGGCACAGGAGCACGTGTGTGGCCCCCACCTCTGTTTCAAACTGTGAGTGCCTTACACATGAGCAACATGTGGACCTAGGGCTTCTAGCACCAGGCCAAGAGGCAGAACTCTAGGTAGATGAAGTCAATGATATCCAGTGACAATAAGGTAAACCTTGCCCCTCATCTGTGACATGGTAGTGGTCCTCTCTATAATGTGCTGACTCAGTTAACGTTGGGAGTTTTCTTTACCATGACTTTCTCTGACCACATTCCGCATTCTGAAGTAGCAAAACCCCATATCTCATTCTTGTTTAAGGTGTAAGGCAGGGAATAAATAAAACAAATATGTGAGCTCCCAGCACGCCCATGGATGAATTCAGACAGTCCCTTTGAATTTCAGAGCATACACTGGTTTTCCCCACTCATGGGGGCAACAAATGCTAATTTCCAGGCTGGTACTAATTAGCTATTATCATAAATTCCCATAATGATGGCCCAAGAGTATACTTTCATTTCGGAACAACCCTTTTGACCTCAATATAGCGATATGCCCCTATCGCTATATTCAGTTGTAAATTAACATGCTGCAGCAATAGGTCAATTCAATTTTGGGATGAGATTTCAAGATCCTTTAGGAACATATGTCTAAAAAAAGAGAAAGAATTGGTCTAAGTCTAACTTCCAGGGGATGTTATCTATCCCCTCTCTTTGTGTGAGAAAGCAGAATTTCTGTTCATTAGTGGTGTTAATTATGCAGTCATTGATGTAAGCCCTGTTTTAATGTCTGGAATAAAATAGAGTTTCTCCTTCTCTCTCTGAGGCAGCAGCAGGGATGGCCTCCAACTTGGATGGCTTTAAAAGAGGGTTAGACAAATTTAGGAGAGACCTATCGACAGCTACCAGCCATGATGGCTAAGCTCTGCCTCCACAGTTGGAGGCAGCAATGCTTCTGAATACCAGTTCCTGGAAGCTATAAAAAGGGAGAATGTTCGAATCCTGCTTGCAGGTTTCTCACAGGTATCTTGTTGAACAGAATGATGCTCTTCGTGTGTGTGTGTGTGTGTGTGTGTGTGTGTGCATGCGCGCATCTGCTTGTGAACATGGCAGCAGGGAAAAGTGCAATTTCTTCTGGACTCAACACTGAAGTCGCTTTGAAAATAAGCTACTAGATGTAGGATTGGGAGACAAGCCAGGAATTTTCCTCTGAGGTATTTGTCCACAGAACAGGAAAGACATTGTCGGCAAGCACAATTCTACTAAAGTTGCTGCAGGTATTAGGCAATTTCTTAAAATATTATTGATTTCCCTTGTGAATTATTCCTTGCAGCCTTACACTGAGAGAGCTATACATTCAAGTCTGGTGCCAAGTTGCAAGGGAATATTTCTGATACCAGTGTTTCCTACGCCTTATCACTGATTGATCTAAATTTTCAGTTGATACCACAGATAACAATTACAGGGTAATTCCTCCAGGCAAACTGCCATCTCAGACATGAAAACACTACACATGGATTAATGTTTGACTCTCTCACTAATACTGTTATTGCCTAGGTAGAAGACAACTGCCACCTCCCTGACAAACAGTAGCATGCAGCCACTTTTTCGTTTTTGTTACCATCTTTCTTAAATCCAGAAATAGCAACCACCCCATTCCTCCTCTCTTAGGGGAAAATCCAGCCATGCAAAATGTGCCCATTATATACTGTAATGTTTGAGACTTTGTCCCAGATTAAAATCTGTGCTCACAGCATTCTAGTTAGCTCTTTGCTCAGTGAACTGAAGTAGCATTTCTTTGATTACCATTAACAAGAGTCTGAAGCTGCAGAATACGTTTGAAATATTCTTTTTTTACCTGGTAGGGGATGGGGTGCGTGCTGAGAGATACGCACTGAGACATACACCCCTCAAGTGGTTGGAAATATTGATCTTTATAATATTGCTTTGCTAGATTCATATCGTTTGTCATCACCACCACCCTGCTTGAGTTAGATATTTACTGGAAGATAAAGGAGAGTTATATCTCCTCAGTAATGACAATCTATTATTCTTTTTCCTTACAGGAAAGCAAAACTTCCGCAATAAATGGGAAGAGGGTGCTGAGTTTTGTACTGAGATCTGCCATCTTTGGGAATGTGGGTACTGCTAACATTCTTCCTAGGGTAGGCCTAGCTGAGCTGCCTCAAAACTGTCACATCTCACTTTGCATCATACTTGGGCAGCCCACTGACTTCATTTGGTAGAACTCTGGCTTCTTTCTTCTACCCCCAGGGCTGGCCCAATACATTTTGCTGCCTAAAATGGGGTAGCCCATGACACACTCCCTTTGCAAGCCAAGTACCCAAGGCCGGTCAAGTTATTTTATGACACCTGAGGCAGAAAATGCCACAAGTGCTTCTCTCCTTTCCTGGCAGTAAAAAACAAAACAGAAAACAATAATATTACATTAAATAACTAACAATTTACTGCTCTTTTATGACACTCAAAACTGCCTGCCTGAGGCAACTGACTCTGCCTAATAGCAGGACTGGCCTAGTTTATTCCCTGGGGAATAAACTCCCATCATCCCTAGCTAGCTGGACCAGTGCTCAGGGATGATGGGAACTGCAGCCCAATAACATCTGGAGACTCAAAGCTGAGAAAGGCTGTCCTAGGGCACTTGAAGCAAATTTGTAATCTGAAGATCTGTAAACATTCTACTCTCATATTACTGTATATCAGTAATACAGTAATACTTTTAATTACTTTGTTGCAGCTGTTCGCAAGAGCACAGTTTCTTTTTACTACCATTTTCTTTAAAAAAACAAAGAAAGAAATACTTGAAGGGAAAATATATGGTTCTAAATTATCCTGAGAGATGAGACATAAGAGATAAAACATGTTGTGAGGTAATTAATAGTACATCTCACATTCATGATATTTTTATACTCTTTCTTCATTGGGATAGATTACAAGAAATGGTAGGTTAAATAGTGCGTGGTCTGAACATGCATGACACAGTAACTTTGCAGAAGCTGAGGTTTAACAACCAATCCCTCTTCCCAGGGAACTCTGTAGCTCTCTGAGGGAAATGAGAGGCCTACTAAACAACTCTCAGCACTGCCTCTCCTGGGATTCTTTGAAGGAAGCCATGGCTGTTAAAGTGCTATGATGCTGCTTTAAATGCATAAGGCAGATAAGGCCCAAGAAAGGTTTAACTATAAAGAACCATCTAGAAGGACAGCAGGAGCCTTCAAGCTGTTGATCAACAGTTAGCAGCAGATTGAGCAAGCACATCCGTCACCTGGTGTCTTCCCAACTGTGGTAAGAGATACTGTGTTTCTATTTAAATTATAGTAATTACTTCTAAATTTGTACCTATACATAGAAGTTACCATATGCAAATTGGTGCCTCAGGGTTTTTTTGGGGGTAACACAGATATTCTTTTTTTAGGCAATGCATAACTGGCCACCCTACTGACTAGGCCTTGACCGCACCTTGGTAGCAGTTCTGCTATTGGAGCCACCAGCTTCCCTCTCCCTTGAGTGTGTATGACAATTTTCTCTGATTCCTCCTTCCCACTGCAGCCCCTCTATGCTATTAAAGAAAACGCTTCCCAGGAGGGTTAGGCGACGCTACAGGAAAGTGTGGGAGTTACAATAAAATGGGTATAAGGGAGAACCACTGGAAATTGCCCCCTCCTTGTTCCTCCAGTGGAAGTCTCTGCTGGATAAAAGCCCCTTCTGCGAACATAAGGAGGTCCTTCTGTCCATTGAAGCCGCACTCTGGACTTAACCCAGTAAGATTAGGCTCATTAAATGGTTTTTATTAGTTGCTGATAGGTTATTCATTCAGGCTACTTTAGGAATGTCAGAGAATTCTGATGAAAACGGGATTGGAAATTACTGGTGTGCGCTTAATTGCACCATGCCCAAAACAGTGAACCGAATCAGTGTTCACTGTTATTGATGTTTTCAGACCTCAGATCATTGATCAGAGATCAGATCATTGATGATCCCCACCCGCTCCAATTTGCATTGTGTGTCCTTTACAATGAACTTAATGGCCTTGCTTTGAAGTGAATGTTGCAGGATAACATAACAAAAAACGCCATAATTTTGCAATTATTTAAAATTCTGCCGCGGTAGACAGCAAGATGGAAAATGTAGTTTTTGTAGGAAGGCAAACAGCAGCAGAACAAAAACAGTGCTGCATATGATGAACAAGGGTGGAAATAGAAGCCTTCCTTCAAAGGCATTGTGAGTCTATATAGGCAGCAGGTTGAGGAGGTAAAGTGCGCTGAAGTTTTAGAATCAGGTGAGAGGCACATTTCTTCTACTGCTGCCCTACATTAAAAACTCTCTGCCATGAGAAAGGCAATGCAGTGTGGAACAGTAATGGGCTTGAGGTTTCAGCAGTCGGTTTTCTAGGGGCTCAACTTGCAGAGCGATATTACGTAGGCAAGCATTAGAAATGGCCATTTGTCGTCAACAGTCTGAAGCGGTACTCTCTGCTTTGCCAACTCTGGATTCAGCTCCCCTCCTTCTGCTGAATATGTTTATCTTTATTGGGTGATCTTGTGAACATGCTCAACTGACACACTTTCTACTACTCGATGAATAGCACTTAACATTCTCTTCTGTTTTTCAGCCCCTGAAGTGTTGTTTTGTGGGTTCATTTTGCTGTGCCTGGCAGTTATTTTTACAAGATAGTTACGTTTGCAAAAGGTTTGGGGATACTTTGGTGTACTATAGAAAGGATTCATACATTTTTGATGAGGCATGGGCCTTGGGACATTTGCATTTCTGTGTGGCCTTGGGCAAAGGCTTCCTCCTCCATATATCCATTCTCATCTGCATAATAAGATAAAACCCCTCATTTCTCCTATATCCTCTGTCCTGTCTACTTTCAGCCACTCCACACTTCCCAGATCTTGCATGCAAGCTTGTATAAACGGTTTCTGTGTAATCCCTCTTCAGAAGATATGTCCGCCAGCACACAACAAGGAGTACAGTATTATGCACGTAGAGGAGCCCCCCCTCCCCTGGTGCATTGCAAATAACTGCAAGGGAGGAGCTTTCATATACACACAAAGGCTTCCATATGACTTGAAAACCTGCACGACTGGGGTCAGGGCTGTCCCAAGGCATTATGGCACCTGAGGCTAACCACAAAATGGCACCTCCCACTATCCCCACAAGGGAAGAAGGAGCGAGTGAAGATCTACATCAGAAACAAGGGGGGAATAAAGATTACATCAGGAACAAGGACGGGAGGAGGCCAGCAGCACCTCCTATTTGCCAAGAGACTGCTGTAGAGGAGGCATTGTGGGGGCAGATCCAGCCTCTGAGGAGTGTGCTGCCGCTGTTGCCGCCACTACAACAGCAGCAGTGGGCATTGCATTCCTTGGAGGCCAGATCTACTGCCCCTGTGGATCCTGCCGCCTGAGGCAGTTGCCTCATGGGTTCTAAGTCGCATGGAATTCGAATGTGCAAAGGCCTCTTCCCATCACTACAGACACCTACAGCTACTAGATACTGTTTAGAACAGCCTTTCATGAGTAGGCAAAAATCTTGCGGCACAAATAACAATTGAATACACACAAATAAATGCATGGCATGATTTTACTTGCCTGGATGAGAGACGCTAAGGACAAAGAGGAACCACATGTTGTCCAATGTATTATTAGAATTCAAACCAATTGGTTGTCTGTGACTGGGCATGGATGGATGAGCAAATGGGACAAAGGTATTATCATTCCAGCTGGGACTAGTTCAGTTGCGATTTTCTGTGTGCAAACTCAATGTGCCATGAGATATAGAAGTCACGTATGCACCCATGTCCATCCCATGCACTCTGTAAGAACAAATTTGCAGGTTGGGCCCTCATGCTCTCATATACTATGTGTTATTCTCTTAATTACTTGATGCGTGTAAAATTTTGACAGTGGGACACACGTGAACTGGCCCTATGACAGAGTGATTCATACCTGCTTCTTTAAAAACATGTCAGTCAATCCATCTTTTGGCTATTTATTAAAGCAGCTATCAAGAATCCTGTTCTGATCTGACAGCTTTGATCTAGATTTTTTAAAAAGGAAAAAATATTTTGAGATCTGCTATGCAGCGTTATAAAGCCAAACCCTTTTTCTGCACTGAGTTGTGTGATATATTTTCAGCAGTTCTGGGTATATTTGTATCCATTTACCCAGCTGTCTTTTTGGAAAAAGCAAGGCAATTGCCTAGAAACTTGGAAAAATGTTAGACATGGCAGCCAACCCATTTAAAAATGCTTTCCCCCCTGTACCTAAACATTAATATTTTGCTCCAGGCTACGGGAGTACCAAAAAGGCATTGGGAAAATTCAGGTCAATGTGTTATTTGTGCAGTTCAGTCAATGATTTTACTCAAACCTGAGCTGACTGGTGTAGCCAAGTGGAAGCAATGCAGTAAAGCAACACGTTAGATCTTCAGCGGGGTTTGCCAGTTCACATTGGAGGCCGCCAATGCACTCCTGTGTCGCTTTTGGAGAGGAAAGCGACTTCTTTCATGTGCATCACAATCTGATGTATGCTTGCTTACTCAGAGGGAAAGCCCACTGTGTTCCATGGGGTTCACTCCCTAGGAACAGTATTTAGGGTTGAAGTTTAATATGATCATGTGTGCCATACAGAAGCTTTTGTTAGTGCATAATCTGTGTCTGTTAGTTGTTATATAAATATCGACTATGCTTTTAACGCATGCAGTATTCTAATGAATGGCAGCTATGTGCTTTAGTATGAGTAAAAAAAACCCCAAACAAACTAATTGCTGTGTTGATTTTATTTATGAAAAGAGAGCCCTTTCCTACCTGCAGATGGTTATGCATGTAGTTGATCGCAGACTGTAGTGATTACATAAATGCAGAGTCTGAACATACAATTGGTATGCCTAGGTTATCTTGATGAAGGAAAGTTTTGTGAAAAATTCAAAGAGTGTTCTAATAATTTGTGATACTATCAAAATTGCTGCGTAATTCTGAAAGCTACTCGGAATGACAGAAAACTAAATATAATTTTCATATATTATAAATTTTGCCCACATTCACTTAAGTAGCACTGGCCAAGGGTTTTTCTAAATCTCTGCCCCATCCTCTTAGTATATTCATTGTTTGATTCATCCTATGAAACTTGCTTTGAAAAAATGCTCTTTGCCATGGATATTTTGCCCTGATACCAGGTGTCCGCAGAATAGTTACAACTGTGCAAGGATGAAGGGAGAAATATCTGAGCTCTTTTAAAAGCCAAAATTCCTTTCTGAACTGAGCCCTGGCACTGAATGCAGGCTCTGGTTAGGGTCTACCTAAGCAAGACGTGAGCACATTGAGTTCTGGATGAATAACCATTTCAAGGTGCAGATGCTGCAAGGCAAGGACTAGGAATACACCCGGCTAATTAAGAGATGGCTGAGAAAGTCAATGCAGTATGCATTTTAATACAAACCTACCAAGTTTACACTTCTCAAACAAAAAAAATGAAATGTGGCCATTTTTCAAAATCTGCGTTTTCCTATTTTTTGGGGTAGTGCAGTTCTCCAGTAATAATAAAAACATACGGAATGTTTATATTAGACAAAACAACTTGCAAAAACATGTCTCGGGTGAAATTGCATACAAAAATATGTAAGTTAGGAGAAACATGCATGAAAATGAATTTTCATGTTGGCTTTCCCCCCTCCTTTAAGTGCAAACTGATGCAGAAAGAGGCTCTCAGCATGATAATACAATACACAGCCGGATGGAGATAGTCTTTTCTTTGTCCTTCCTGCCCAGCCTTTCTTCCCATCTACTTGGGCAAATAATAGAATGATCTGCTTGGACACACAATGGAATGAAGTCAGACATAACATCTTAGTAGTGGTGGATGTGGCTTCAGGGCTCAAATTACAAGAAAGCCAGAGGGGAATTAGTTCATTACCTTTTTCTGTGCTGCCCATTTTATCTACTGCCTTTAGAAGACTTTGGTGGTGGCCATGTTTTGGTAAAAGTTCATGTGAATTACATTAAAGGGCACTCAATGTCACAGCTCTCCCCCTCCACCAATAATTCAAGCATGGTGGGATGTTTGGGGAGGCGTTCAAAGCAGTAACAGCTTGTGTGGTAGGGCAGAGGTGCCTACATGACACTTCCTGTGTCCTGGGGGGCGAGCTGGGCAGCAGTAAGGTTGGGGCTATGTGGTTGCCAGTCTGGTGCTGCAAGCATGCCTGCACATCCCTTGACCTCACCTGCACCCTGCCCTGACCCAGCTCCATCCAGGTATGCTGTGGCAATGCCAATGCTGGGGAGG